ACAAAAGTTTGAACATAGACACAGCATAATAAAGAATTAAACACCTTGAAGTCACTCACTAGATACTCACCAAAGCGAGTCACAAAGGCGTTTAAAGAATGAAATAAATGAAACATGAGTACCTAGAATCTTAAGATACTGTAAAGAGCAAAATAAATAAATTTACTGAAACTATAATTAGGATTCCAAAAGAAGAAATGGAAAGGAAAACAAAGAGCAGTTTCTTTTAGAGAAGTATGCAAGTTAAAAACAAAAGAAAAACATCTCTAAGATATTGAATAGAAAATGACAAATCAAAGTTCTCTACATAGTAAAATGGTTTCCACAATGAATGTTAATAGATTTTTTTAAAAGAAGCTGATAGAAAAGAAAATAATAAATTCAATGTAATCCCAGTAACAGACTAAGTCATTGATAAGGAGGTTTCAAATCTTTGAGTGAAGTTAAGAAACATTTGAAAAACTTTGTGGCTTGATTAGAGCATAAATTAAAGCACTTTACAATTTAGGAAATAATGTGCTGTCATATGTGCACCCGAGGAAGGAGAATAAGCCAAAATTAAGACAGACCCAGACCTGAAAGGCATAGCTTCATATTTCAACTTGAGTAGCTCTTTCCAAAGGCTGGGTTAAAGACTAACTTTTATTAAAGTGTGTTGGGAAAAATGAGTCCTTTTTCCAGAAAACTTTTTTGAACTCATATTCACACAATGCAGATTTTGAACTCATACTAAATTATAGAGCTAAATTAGAAAGGTTCAATGATACTCACTTTAGAACATAAAGAGATAAGTAACACCAGGGCCTTCCACAGCTGAAGGATTTCACCCTGAACTCAGGCGCATGTGCACATGCCAAAGCATGCACATGCACACCCCATGCATGCTGTTGGGGCTAAAGTAAAATATCATTGGTCACATTAAGATGATGGACTTTCTTCATGAAAATTGTGTAAGTTAAAGGATGTCACAGAGGAATAAATGACATCGACCAGCCATCTAACCCTGAAAACCTTATAGCCAACATACTTAAGGAACTTCCATAAGTAGACAAAAATGTAGACAACACAATGGAAGAAATAAAAACAGGCCTTTCACAAAAAATAAAAAAAGAACCAGCAAACACATGAAGAGATGCTATACCTGGTTTGTAGGAAAAACAAGCAAATTAATGTATAAGCAAGGTATCATCACATAGCTACCATTCTTTTTTTAAAATTTTTTTATTTCATTGAGAAAGAAATAGCAATGAGATAGTTTCAAAACTGATTGAAAGGACAGTTTCAATAATTAATACACTGTACATTGTTATCTTCTTAGTGGTTGTCCATAGTACAAGTTGCAGACAGGATATCCTGTCCAAACACTAGTAGTACAAATCCTTCTTCTCATTGAATTAAGCCAAAAAGAAGTGAAGAACATTGATGTGATGCTGACATTGCTGTTCTGGAAAGTATGTAAGCTGCCGGAGAGAATTTGAATGATAGCAAACCTAATGTAGAAAGATGCAATTAAACACGCATCCTCACTGACCTAGGAATTTCATTTCTGGGAGTTCTACACAAGGAAATTTTCATGCAATTGTGCAAGTGTGTATGTCCAAAATTGTCCTTACTAAGGTTATATAAAATATAATTGTGCAAATACACATACAAAGAGTGTTAGAAAAGTATCATGAACATGTAAATATTGACAAACTTGTTACAGGGAAAGACACTGCCATTAACCTCGCTCCAAATATTTCTGCTCACTCTAACTAGCCTACTGTCATTTTTCTGAAGCAACTGAAGTCCTGTATGGGAGCGACTTTAGTGGCAGTGTTGTGTGAATGCCGTGTTGTCCTGGGTCAATTTGAAAAGTTCACCTCTCATGGTCATTTTTACTTTGGGAAACAGCCAGAAGTCACACAGTGCCATCCTGGTGAGTGTCGTGGAGGAGGACACTGTAAGGTTTTTATGAGCCCTGATCTTATACTTGACAGCAGGAAGCACAAGATGTTTTTATCACACCTGTAAAGAAACTCACAAAAGAGTGCTTCCAGAATTGCTTCCGAAAGTTGCAAAGAATAATTGGAATACATGTGTTCGAAATGAAAAGCATACTTTTAGGGAGATTAATGAAAATGTGTATTTCACTGTAATAAATTTCTTAAAATGTAAACTTTCATTGTCTTTTGTTATGTCAGATTTCTTTTCAGACAAAATCTCACTATGTATATACAACTCACTATGTACATTAACTCATGGTTGTAGTCTCTAGACTGACTTAGAAATTGGGGCAAACTACTGCCTCAGCCTCCTGAGTGCTGGGATTATAAATTATAAACATGTACCACCACTTTCACCCTCACCCTCTAATTCTATCATCACTAATAGGAACAAAGAATGCTTTACTTTACACAATATATACATCTCTCAACTACACTAAGTAAACAAGACAGACCTTATAATATTAACAAAGAAAACAAGATACAAACAAAATGCATACACCATCATTCCACTTATATAGAAAGCAGGCCAAACTAAATTTTATCATCTGGGACCTCACAAGCGTGTGATAAAATTTACAAAGAATTATGAAAGTGGTGATTGTGTTTGACTCTAGCAGGATTGCTAGAAGTCATAGTATGTGTCTTTTGGGTTTCAGGAATGCTTAATTTGTTACTATAAAGCTATTTATGTGTGCATCCACTTTACAATTTGTAGGGATTATTTTATATTTCATGTTTTGTATAATATTCCAAATGTGTCATATTATAGAGGAATAAAGAGTAGTAGTAATGCATATTAATAATTACTTAAAATTAAATGCAAAAAAACTATACTAACTTCTCATAGGATTTTGGTGAAGAATGAAAGAGTTGCTACAGTAATCATTACTGGCACACAATCTTGAATCCATATTAGCTGGCATTAATAAATATTTTCAGAATTTACTAATAAAGAACTTAGGTTTCCTGTTCCAGCCATGTAACAAATTATTACCATAGAGTCAGAGACTCAAAACAATAGCAGTTTATTAGTGTATAATTCTGGAAAATGGAAATCTCTGAGACTAAAATCAAAGTGTAGAGAGGAGTAAGCTCCCAAGAAGCTCTGGAGAAGACTCTATTTCTGCACTTTTCCTTACATTTCAAATTTATCCAGTTATGGGCTGGGGAGGTAGCTCGGCAGCCTAAGTGCCTGCCTGACAAGCACAAGGACTTGAGTTTGATCCCCAGTACCTAATGCCATGCTGCCCAGGAACCCAGGGTATAGTGGTGCATACCTGGAACTCTAGTGCTGGGGAGGCTGAGACAGGAGGATCGCTATGGGTCTGAACTGTGTAGCAAGACCCTATATCAAAATAAAAATAAATAACTAAAATGAAATTTCCTCTGCCCTCATTTTGGCAAAGGAACATACAGGACAAGAGGTTCGAGGCAGACAGATGCCAGGTTCTTGCTATATGGTGTTGGCTCATGGCAGCAAGTCATGGAGCACTGAAACCCAAATTTGCCACATGGAATCTGAGGGGTTTAAAACTTATCAAAGGTGGGTGTCGCAGATGTAGAGCACTTGTTCTTTTCTATTAGGACATTTTCTTGAATCTTAAAATAATTGACACACTTCTTCATGATTTTTAAAAGTTATGGAAATGATTACAGAGAGTTACTATACAAATGTTTTATCAATGTGCTGGTCCTTTCTCAAGCTGTCAAGTCCAGAAATACAGCTGAGTTGGACCCAACCATACATGATCTGAGCATTTTAGCTTTCTATTCTCCTAAGAATAGAAAAAGAGCATCGGTTTTAACATAAATCTACTTTTGTTATACTGGAGCAACAGAAAAAAAAATTTCACTTCTTATCATAAAGGTCACCTGGGAAATTCCTTAAATAAATAAAGAATTAAGGGAGATAAAAATGGAGTGTTATTTAATGCTCCTATGCTTTATAAAATATATTTTACTCTGTTAAATGAAACAGAAAATGACCAAAATGTGTAATAAAGGCTATCTTCATTTGCATCTTAAAGGTTATTCTTAATTTCCCTAGGGAATTTATTCCTCCCTACACTTTAACTACTGAGGAGAATAAAAACAAAGAAACAATTATGGTTTAAAAGAGATTTAATATTTAAAATATGCATTAACTTATATATTTAAAAATCCATAAATTTTTTAAGAATCAGCATGCTGTCACACATGACTACAAAGAATTAAAATGACTGAATCTTAGCTCTAATGCAAAGATAGTTGAATGAATCAAATCAGGTTTTTTGCACAATTCCTATGAGATCTATTTACAAAGTTTACAAAATTACAAGAGTATAGTAAATCTAATATAATTTATTTCCCATTATAGAGTGTACTATTTAAATTACATTTTTCAGTAAGGTCAAATATAAAGGAAATCACTACCGTATTTGGGTTTTTTGGTCTTTAAGTCTAGGGCGTAGTTTCCTTGCCACTAATTTATCTTCCAAAATGTCTCCATTTCATACTAATAGTAGTGGCTCTCAGCTTGGAATGTCTCTGTGCAGATGGCCTGCTGACACTGCTGACCAGCTATGCCACAGCCGTAGAGTAGGGTCTCTGTCAAGCTGAGGTGTCCACCAGTTCCCCTGCACCTCAGCTGCCTCCTCTGACAGTGTCCCACACCTGCGCACAGCGGCAGGGTGACCACCTGGGCCTGAGATCTTGCTCTCAGCCCACTGACCCAGTTTGTTTCGTTAACTGCGAACCTGTGAGCTTGTAATACCCTGAGCCAAATACAGAAAGTTACACAGGAGGCAATGGAATGACTTCAATATCGATTGCCCAAAGTTCTATATTTCTTGTTCCTTTCTGCAGTTAAAGGGAGAAAAAAAAGAAAGCTCAAATATTTAGCACTTTAAAGCAAGATGCAGTCATCACGCCTTGAGGCAGAAGATCTCAAAGACATTAGCTGCTCTTGCAGTCTTCTCTGTTGAGCCTCAGCCTCTGCCTTTTGCCTTTCTGCTTCCTCCTAAAAGTGGTGAATAGAAAGTATAAAGCACAGGCAATAACACAACAGTCAATCTTAGGTAATCTTTCTCACTACCTAAGACTCAGTCTTTTTAAATCTTTGTAGTCATGTGTGACAGCATGCTGACTTTTTAAAAAGTTGTGGATTTTATAAATATATCAGTTAACAGATATTTTAAGTAGTAAATCACTCTGGAAACATAACTGTTACTTTGTTTTTATTCTCCTCAGTAGTTGAGTTGTCCTTACTCGTTTGCTCCACAGTGGCAGTACACAGTCTCTGAAAAGCTCTTCTCCACTTCTAGACATCCAGCCTTCTACAGCAATAACTACTACTCCTCTTTCTCTAGCTCCTGAAACTTATGTTTCCATCCCTGAAATACTGGTGTACTCAGGATTCTGTATGAGTGCACCTTTTACCTTTATACTAAACAACGTCTCTGAATAATCTCAGTCATACCTTGACTTCAATTCTGACTGAACCACAGGACGATCATAGTTATGTGTTGAATAGAAGATGCTGATACAAAAAGGGTGGGTAGGACACCCTCAGAGTCAGCTGAGGCATCGGAGCCCTGTGTGAGGATGTGCTCCTGGTCACCACACTTTTCAAAGACAGAAATAAAGATGTAAAAAATCATGGGCTGCCCCTACTGTCCTTTAGAAAAGAGCATCAGTTCTCAAGAATGTCTTGGAGCAGCTGCTGAGCAGCCAGTGCCTGCAGAGAGGCTGGGAAGCAGGGCGAAGGTTTAGGGCAGCCATGGGCTCAGGAGGCTACTCACAGAGGAATTGCACACCAGGTTTGCAAGGGCAGCAGTGCTCTAGACCACACTGACAGCAAGAAGTTTTGACAGCCTAAGGGCTGTATGATATGAGGATTTAGTCCTCACTTTGGGACCTCAATTGCCTCATCTGAAGACTGGGGGCACGCTGGTTCTACTCCCCAGTGAATGGAGTAGATGAGGGGGGCTTGCAGGGGGCTTTCTACAGTGCTTGACACATAGGGGCTGCTGCTGCTCAAGCTACGTCCTTGCTGCTCTGGACTGGGTGGAACAAAGTGCAAGCCAGAGATGGCTGGGGGAAGGGCAGGGGCAAAGACAGGGCCAAAGGAACTGATGTAAGAAAGCATCTGCAATCAAGGCAAAGCATTTTACAGGGGAGTTACCAAAATTAAAGCCTATTGTGGGACAGAAAGGCCTTCGTTTTTATTTAACAATTTATATACTTGTTGGGTACCTAGTATTTTTTTGAACACAAGAATCAATCATCTAATTATCACAGTAGCCTTGTAAAATATGTACCACCACTGTGCCTGTTCCACAGGAAAGGCAAACGAGGTGCAGGGGGAAGCGAGCCCTTGCCTCCTCAGCCATGTCTTTGGTAGGAAGTGCAGCCTGGGTTCGCCCAGCAGTCTGACTCCAGGGTACTTGTCCTGGGCCTCCACCTGCACTGCCCAGCCCCACTGCCGTGGCTCAGGCTCATGCTCATGAGGGGAGAGAAGAGACAAACCCTGAGATGAAACCTCTGATACATACCTGGAGCCTGCGCTCCTGCTGCCTCTGCAGCTCCCTCTGCTGCTGCGCCAGGAGGTTTGCTCTGTCGATCTCCATCTGTCTCATTTGCTGCTGGTGGAGCCTTTCCTTCTCCTCCAACTTTCTCTGGTTCTCCTGGGCAATGGCCTCCAATCTTTGTGCTTCAGCCCTTTGAGCCTCTGCTTTGCGTCTAGCCTCTGTGGAAAAGCAGAAATAACAAACCTCTCTCAGATGACTGTGCCGCTTCCACCTGCTTCCCACTCTCACCTATTATTGTTACCACTTCTTAGATGCAGATTCCTTGGGTTATCTTACCCTTCCAGATGACCAGATAGGAGCTGACTGTGGGGCTCTTGGGAGGACCTGGCTGCATTTATTTTCATATTTGGGAATTTCCTGTCCAATGGCATTGCCTGCACTTTCATCTCACCTTCCTTCTCCTTTTCTTGAGTGGTGAGAGCCAGGTCTGACTGTAGAACAGCTTCGCTCACAGACTGCTTGGACCTCAGGTAATCCTGCAGAACTTCCTCAGCCTATGAACCCCAAAACATGCAGTCAGAACCAGGGAAGTGTAACTTGTAGCCATGTGGACCTCTTTCTTTCTGTTTCCTCCCCACATCCTCTCCTCGTAGTGGATGCTCAGCCACTACCTGGTGGAAGTGTCCACAAGGTTATCCCGTTGCTGGTGTGCACATGACCTGGGCCTTGACAACTGAGCACCCATGACTACTATTGAAACTACATTAAAACCTTTTCATTTGTTAAATTAGGTTCAATTCTGGAGCTTCATTTTGTGTAGCCAACATAGCATTCCTTTGTGGCCATAAATATTAAAGGTTGTAATAGAAGTCTGGAGATAGTCGTGATGTTCATTTTGTGCCATGGCTATGGCTATGCTGGAAAGGTACAGCGCGTGGCTCTGCATGAACACTGATTGAAATAAAGCCCAAATAAAGATAAATAACAGCAAGTGCGGAGGTAGGTCTCTCTCAAAGAGGAAAGGCATTGAGAGAATTAGGGAGGAAAACAGAGGGGAAGGGGAGGAAGAAAAAAAATTAATGCATGTTATATGCACGGGCCAATTCCCCACAAGGATGTAAACATAATGTACTTCAAATATATTTCAGAGAAAAAAGAAGAGTGATCAAGGATCGAAGACGTAAGGAGAAACTGAAGGAAAGGAGACAAAAGAAGAAATTAAGGTGCATTATGTACATGTGCCATCTCCTCACAAAAAATGGACAATAAACATATACTAACAAAAAAGACAGGGGCCTGTGAGGTAGCTCAATGGTCCAAAGTGCCTGTATGGGGCTGGGGAGATGGCTCAGTGAATAAGTGCTTCCCTCACAAGTGCAAGGGCCTGAGTTCAATAACAGGTTCCACCAAAAATAAATAAATAAATAAATAAATAAATAAATAAATAAATAAATAAAATTAAAAAAATAAAGTGCCTGCATAGGCAAGCTTAAGCAGGTGCAATGGAGCATGGTTCCATCTCCAACACCACATGCTGTGCCAGCCCTGCCCTCAAGGTGGGCTGAGCTGGCAAAAAAAAAAAAGACTGAGATGTAAACTCATCTTTGTGCCTGTATCCATGTTTTTCCTCTTGTGCTCAGTGTTTTTCTAGAATGCTCGCATTGTTAATAGATAAATCTGGGGATACCTGTATTCCTTTCCTTGGATGTTGACAGTAATTTGCCTTCAAGATTTCCATTTTTTCAAGGTAAAGGTTATGGCCTCCTGGCCTAAAATAAATGCCCTGCTTCACTTCTTCCTCCAGAGGACCAAAAATACCCTGAAGTAAAGTTGAGCACCGACATGCAGAGGCTTCCTTGTTCCGCTTGCAGATGTCGTCCTGCTTTGCATCTAGGAGGGTCTTCAAAGGGACAAAATTCCAGAGATGTTAGCAAAAATTTAGTCTTCTCCAGTGGTGTTGCTCTTAAAAAGAATATACAATCTTTTGTAGAAATTTAGTGGAATATGAGCTAGACTAGATCCTTCTGCCAAATCTTGAAAAGTTTTGTGAATGATACTGTTTGAAAAATAACACTTTTTTTTTTTGGGTAGTAACATGCTAAAACCAACTTTTCTTGTTCTCTGTGCTTTAAAGGAATCTTAGGTTTCCCTATTTCTGATCCCTGTCTGGATTTGAAATGCAGGTTACTGTTTTATGATGTTTTATAGTTTATTTTTCTACTTGTGTGAGAAGGTAGAGGTGCACACTTAACTCGAAGGACGGTGGCTAACCCTGTGCATCCTGCATGTGCCATCTTTCAGTAGATACACATGCCAGTTTTGTTTCAGTAATAAAGCAGTAATGATAACACCTTGCAAATATAATTTTGAAAGGAATAAAATCAATTTAACTTTTGTCCTTGGGTGTAAAATATTGGAAGGAAGATATGTGCTTATATGAAAACTTGAAATTCTAAATTCCTTGGAGTACATCCATGCATTTTTGAGTTTTAGGATAAAAGTAACATGGAGCAAACCCCACCAGTGACTGTCATTATTTTCAAGTCTGGTACTTCCTTTTCTTAATTAAGTCCTGCTTTACCAGCCATAGAAAATGCTCGCCCTCTAGCCCATATGCTAGAGTAAACCACAAAAATATTAATACTAACCTGTAGTTCCTTCTGGAAACGGTGGTCCTCATCCTTGAAAGAGTTCTTTGTGAATACTTCCATGGCCTCCCTCTCACAGGCCCCGTGCAGGTCCAGCAGCTCCTGTAGGGTGTCTGTGGGCAGCTGCACCTTCTGGCCCATCTGCTGGTCATAGTGGGCCAAGGCCTTCTGCACTGCAGCTGAGTTCTCTCTCTGGACCAACTCTAGGACTGAGTTTCCCACGGAGGGCAGTTCCCCACTGTTGATGGCATTGACATAGATCTGGGCCAGGCTCTCTAGACCTGCGCAGAGGGCAAAGATGCTTATGTTATTTGTGGAAAAGAGTCTATGTTCCATTGAGTCTTTCTGACAATGCCAACTCAATGATTTATTGCCTAAATTTTTTTCACCATTCTGGGCAGTATTTCAAGGACCCACATAAATTATTTTGAGAAATTATGCAATTTGGATTCAAGAATTTTCTTTCTTTGGGAAAGAAACTGTGTTTAAACAGTAACACATGGTACATCTGAAGGTGCACATCAATGTCCACATTCCATGATTGTCTACAAATAAATGTGTCCTTGATTAGAATGCTTTAGGTCTCGCCTCTTTCGTCTTCCATTTTTCCCTTTCTCTTTTACTCTATTATGATAAAACTGGTAAGAGAGGTATCCTCTTCTTTAAAAGGAAAGGGAAACAGCAATTTTAGACCACATCATCTTTCTTATTTTTGCTTGGAATTTCCCTGTTTTACTTCTCTGTGAACTTATATTCAATTTTCCTCTATCACAAAGCAATTATTTATAGAATTTGAAGGGGCTGGGCTGGTGAGATGGCTCAGTGGTCTAATGCACGTACTTAGAACAAGCTTAGCAAAGCACAGGGACCGCGGTTCAATCCCCCAGCACCACATGCCAGCCAG